AACTTTTCAATGCAATTAAAATAAATGAAAATACAATTCAAACTCAAAGTAGACAAATTGATCTAATCTAATTAATTTACAGCAAAATAAAAAAATATGTRAMYGACGGATAATGAAATCTCGATTATCACTTTATCATGCGAGAGTATAAAATGTTCGGTGATGTTTATCAAAGTGGTTATCAACCCATTCCGAAAAAAAATTCATAACTAGGTGACTAACGATTCGGGGACATTCTAAACTAACATCCAAGTCAAGTATTCTTCCTCCTCCGCATTATTTTTATACATGTTGCTAAAGAATATAATAGTTTTGTGCACCTAACGGTTGTTTGTATCAACGATATATATTGAGTTATATACATATATATAATTGTGCAAGCGATAACTTGAGTACAAATTGAGGTATCTTAATGAAATATGGCACCTGTGCTCCTCGACAAAAAAAATTGATTACGATTTCGTAGACACAGACAACGTCATTAAACGAAAGGCTATAAAGTGCCATAACTAAACACTAAAGCAATGTAAAGAACTGTAATTTGGTACAGGATGATGGACAAGAATTCATCCCAGCGACATTCATTGACGTGAAAGGGGCATTCAATAACGGTATCACGGCTGCACTGATATCGGTTTTCGCTGTTCACATTAATCTAAACCCGTTGTCCTGATTATAAGATCACTTAAGGCACCCGGAAGAAGGCATCCTATCCCGCCTCCTCGACAGGGCGAACTTGCAGGAACACAATGGGTCTAATGATGGCCTAAGTGAATATTAGCATTTCTCTCTTAATTTTTAGTTCTGACTTCTTCCTTTTCCACTTAGTCCCAAAAAAGCATATCTTTTGAATGTGATTTCGTTTGCTTTCAGCTAACTCGAGGAAAGATAATTATGTCATTTAGACAAAAAAAAATTAGTAATTCACACAAGTGACATTTCAAAATTTATTTTAGAGCTCTGATCTCAGAAGTAGAGTATTCAAACATACTTTAACATAATTAAATCCTATTTTTCCCTTCTGAAATATGTTCTATCAAAATTTGCGGACTATTCTCCGAAATAAAATGTTCACTAATATTTAACTTCTTCTGGTTTAGTTACCAAAAGGTCGCTGAAGGTATTTAACACAGGAGTAATAACGAAAAGTAATAATATAATCACGATGACGGCATTGCAGCCATTAACTGGTGTATATATTTATGTACGTACGTCCGTATGTGCGTAATGCTGACATAAACAACAAACTTGTTTATTAATATTACAACGCAAAATAGTATTACTCTTAATATTCATAACAGACAGATTGAAAAGCTGGTGTCGTTTTAAAACGACTTTATTATCCAACATGTTCGATCGAGGGACACCTTCCATAGATGCATTCACATGAGGTCTAAGAATGGGAAAGTGTTACTGGGGTCAGATTAGGAGAACTTGGTGGTATCAGAGCATAAGCGCGAAACAATTGAAAACTACAAGTAAAGCGATAATATTTAAGCGGGGCCGCCTTCATAGGATATCAGTGACAAAACCAAGCGAGCTGTTGCATTGCTTTTTAATATTTCTGGGTGAATGGTGGATTCAGACGAGAAGTTCTATTTTTCGAAAGGTGTGTTTAACATTTCTGGTGAAAAAAAAAAATTGGAATGCATTCAATTAACCACTAAAAGAACATAAAAAATAAATATAACACCTTATATTCAGAACTAAGCCAACATCCAGGCAAATGTAAGATTATCACTATCGACTATATCCTTAAGATAAAATTTCACCATGCGAAGATATAACTTTAAATAATTTAATTAATTTGATTGACAAAATAAAAAATACAGTTTTTTTTTTTTTTTGATTTTTGCATCCT